GTTGAACAAAAGTCAATCCATGGTTTGATTAAGTTGAAATTTTATCAGTAGGTTTACAATTCAATATTCTACAATATGAATGGTGGAGATCAGGTTTAAAGCTCTCTAAGAATAAATTTAAGATGTATTTGTTGAGTCACCTATTTGATGAATTTATTCAATTATCTCTCTAATTGTTGATTAGCTCTAGTTTTAGCTAGAGGAGAACTTTGTCTATCAATTATTTGATAGTAAAGATTTTTTTGGTGGTTCATGGTTTTTTCCTTTACATTAGAGGGTTTTTTACATAAATTTTGGTGTAATTTAGTTTTTTTGTGTTTTGGATTATTGATTGATGTCTATTGCTGTAGGTTTATTATGATATATTACTTTTGCGTTGTTTTGTTTTTCATTTTAGGCCCAATAAATGATATTAGAGCGAGGTTATTTTTGAGACATCGATATAAAAGTAACCCATGATAGAAGTAAATTCTATTTGAGATCATAAAGAGTAATACAGGTTCTATGATAAAATTGACAACATCAAATTATTTAATTTAAAAGCCTATGATGAAAGATTATTTATACTGTAAAGATTTTTATAAGTCGGTATTAGATGATTTAGTTAAGTCAGTAGATATAAAAGATGAAACTGAAAGAAGTTAGGCAAAAAGACACTGGCTACAATAAAAAAATAGGTTGATATTAACGTGTTCTATCATACAGTGTAGAAGATAAATGCCCACACTATTTGAAAAAAATTGATAGCATTGTATGAGAGGAAAACAAACATTAATAAAGTTATGCTTGTTAAAAAGCTTGCAACTTTATAATATAGGGATAAACGATCGATTACAGAGCACTTGGGTGATTTTAAAATATATTTAATTGATGACTACCATGAAGCTTAAAAAGGATGATGAAATGAAGGCATTGTTTATTTTAGGTTCATTGCCAAATAGTTGGAATACTTAGTTATAACTTTTTTAATTCAGCTCTTGCTTACTAGGTGACATTGAAGATGGTAAATGATAGCATGCTTAATAAAAAAGTAAGGCGAAAAGATTTAGACCTTGGGAATCAAGCTTTTATCATAGAGAATAAGGATAGAAAAATTGACAGAGGTCAGAATTCAAAAGGCCATAACAAGTCTAAACATAGATTCAAGTCCAAAGATAAAGTGAAGTGCTTTCATTATAGTAAACCAGGTTATATAAAGCGATACTGCAAAATCTTGAAGCAAAAGCGAAAAGATAAAACAAGTAAGAATTTAAATGATGGTAATATTGTAGTAGTGAATTCAGATAGTGATTCAATTACTTCAATTTATACATATAGTGATTGTAATTATGTTAGTGATCTCAATATTGAGTGGATAGTTAACACATGAGCGACATATCATTGTGTTCATAAGAAGAAGTTATTTATAACTTACAAAACAAAAGACTTTTGTTACATTAAGATAAAATAAAAATGAGTCATAGATTGTTGAGATCGATGATATTGGTGTGCAAACTAGTATGTGCTACATGTTAACTTTGAGGGGTGTCAAACACATTCCGGATATGAGAATGAATTTACTTGCTATTAATGTCTTTGATAAGAAAAAATATGAGAGTCGACAAAAAAATAGATAATGGAAGTTTCTCAAAGGATCATAGTAGTTGTAAGAAAAAAACTATGCTACACAATATACAAGACATAAATGTAATTAAACGGCAACAAGATAAATACCATTAAAGATGATGCTTCAACAAATATGTGACATAAAAGGCTGGCACACATAAAAAGAAGGGGTTACAGGTTTTGATAAGGTATTCTCTCATTTCCTTGACCAAAGGTATATCTCTCAATTCATGTGATCATTGTTTATATGGTAAGTATCGTAGAGGTTTTTTTTTAAGTAGTCTCAGAGAAAAAAATAGATTGAAATTGATTCATTTTGACGTATGTGGTCTCATTGAAGCTAAGTCATTGAGTGATAGCATGTATTTTGTTAGTTTTATTAATGATGCTTCATGTAAGACTTAGGTGTATATGTTAAAAAATAAAAGTCAGGTATCACAGTATTTTTAAAAATTTCATGCCATGGTGGAAAGGATGACAGAGTTGTCCTTAAAGTATTTTCAGACTAATAATGGTAGAGAATACAATTTAAAGATTTTGAAGAATATTGTTCGAAACATGGGATCAGGCATGAGATGACAGAACATAAAATACTACAGCATAATGATAAAGTTGAAAGAATAAACTGCACCATTATGAAAAAAGTCAAATGTATGTTGAGGATGACAAAATTACCAAAACTATCCTAGGATGAAATAGTTAACACAATTTGTTATTTGTTTAACAGATCACCATCAGTTCTTTTGGGCTTTGACATTTCAAAAAAAATATGGATAGGGAAAGATCTTTATACTCTCACTTAAAAAATTTTAAGTGTAATGCATTCATGCATGTGCTGAAAGAACAGAGGTCAAAACTTGATAGTAAAGTCATACAGTGTGTGTTTATAAGATATGGTGATAAGGAATTTGGTTATGAGGTATAGGATCTACTAAAAAGAAGGATAGTCAAAAACAGATATGTAATCTCCTAAAAAAGAAATTATAGTAAACCTTGAAAAAAATGAGTAGACTACATGGGTTACGGTTGAATGTGATGTTTCGACACCGTTAATGGTTCCACCAGAAAGAGCCACAAATGGTGAAAATGAGCAAGAGATAGAACTTAGGGATATGAATGAGCCAGCAACAATTAGTGATGAGTCAAATATAATCAGTTTTGAGTGGGAAGTAATCTTCTCTACCTGAAAGTGTCAAGCAAGGTGAGCATTTCTCTCCATCAGAAAGTGTTGAGCAAGAAAAGCTACCTTTAGATAGTATAAAGTCTCAGTCTAAGAGATCTACCAAAGAGCATCGACCATCCACCAGGTATCCAAGTTCAAATTTTATTTTAATTACTAGCAAAGAGGAACCCTAGAGCTTTCAAGATGTGCAACTACTCTAGATAAAGAGCATAAATTAAAAATAATAAAAGAAAACATATAATCATTATAGAAAAATGGTACATAAAATCTTGTTAAACTTTCAAAATGGAAAGGGCTATTGAAGAATAAATGGGTGTGCAAGCTTAAAAAATATGGTGACAAGCCAGTGAGGTACAAAGCTTGATTGATAGTAAAAGGTTTTTCTTATAAACTCAGCATTGATTTTGATGAAATCTTCTCTCGAGTTGTAAAGATGAATTCCATTCAAGTGGCACTAGGATTAGTAACTAGTTTGAATCTTGAGCTTGAGTAACTTGATATTAAGACTATATTCTTGCATGGTGACTTGTAGAAAGACATTTATATAGACCAACCTAAAGGTTTTGAAATGAAAGGGAAAAAACACTTATTTTGCAAACTAAAAAAAAGCTTGCATGGCTTGAAACAAGCTCCGCAGCAGTGGTATAAAAAGTTTGATTCTTTTATTATGAGCCACAGTTATAAAAGAACGACAATAAATCCTTTTGTATATGTTAAAAAATTCCTTGATAGTAATTTCATTATTCTTTTATTATATATTGATAATATATTGATTGTGGACAAGATGCTGGTATGGTTTGCAAATTAAAAGAATAATTATCTAAATTCTATGACATGAAAGATTTAGGTTTGGTAAAGTAGATTCTCGGTATGGATATTATTCAAGATAGGAGAGCTGAAAAGCTGTGGTTATCATAGAAAAAATATATTGAATGGGTGCGTAGTAGATTTAACATGTAACATGCTAAATTAGTTAGCACTTCATTGGCCAACCATTTTTATTTTGAGTAAGAAATCTTATCCGGTGACTATGAAAGAGTAAATAGCTATATCTAGTATTTTTTATTCTTTTGCAGTTAGTTATTTGATATATCTTATAGTTTGTACATGACCTGATATTGCTCATGTAGTTGGTGTAGTGAGCAGATTTCTTTCTAATCCGAGGAATGTTCACTAGGAAGTAGTGAAATTGATTTTTAGATATATTACCTAAAAAATGTGCTTGAATTATGGAGTTTCACAACCAATTCTAAAAGGATTTACTGGTGCTAACATAGTAGATGATCTTGATAGTTAGATATCATTAGCTATGTTTAGTAATTGAAGAGCGGCATATACAATTGAAAAAAGTTCATACTAATGAAAATGCAATAGATATGTTGACTGATATACTTTTTAGAAAAATGATTGAGCTCTGCAGTAACTTGACCGGTATGGGTTCCTTGGCCAAAGTAAATTCCAAATGAAATTGCTATGGTGATTAGTCTTTTCCTAAAAAGGCTAGAAAGGGAGGTTGTTAGGAACGTGGGGTTTGGCCTTATGGTTTTGACCATTCAAAGGCCATGAGCCTTTTAACTTAACATGAAATAAGAAAGCCCTACATAATAAAGAAATGGGGTCGATTTTGGCATAAGTGTGTGGCATCGAAAACTAAGAGGAAAAGAAAGAAAAGAAGCTAGAAAATATAAAGAGAAAAGGGAAAAAGAAGAGTTTGTTGAATAAAAGTCAATCAGTGGTTCGTAAGAGCTGAAATTTTGTTAGTAAGTTTATGATTCAGTGTTTTACATTTTGAATGGTGGAGATCGGGTTTGAAACTCTCTAGAAACAAATTTAGGGTGTATTTTTTGAGTTATCTATTTGATGAGATTTATCTAATTGTCTCTCTTGTTGTTGATTAGCTTTAGCTTTAGTTAGAAGAGAACTTTGCATATCCATTATTTGATAGTAAAAATTTTTCTGCTGATTCGTGGTTTTTCCCTCTACACTGAAGGGTTTTCTACATAAATCTTGGTATACTTTATTTTTCTTTATTTTGAATTATTAATTGTTATCTATTACCATAGGTTTATTACAATATATTACTTCTGCGTTGTTATGTTTGTCGCTTTAAACCCAACTAAGTAGACCATTCTTTTATAAAAGCATGTCCAGACTCCCATTGGGACGTAATCTAAATGAGAAGGAGCTCATCTTGCTTTCGGCACCAGCCATGTTAGTGTACAAGATTCTGGTGCCGAAGTCGTCCCATGCTCCTAATTTCAGCAATAAACTCTTTCATTCCTTGACGAGAACCATTAGACACCCGCTTAATTGCCACTTCTAGCCCTGTACTAGGGATAACCCCCCTATAAACTCTACCAAATCCTCCATAACCAATGAGATTTTTCTCTCCCAACCCCCTTGCTGCACAGAAGAGCTCAGAATACTTGTATCACCAAGCTACATATTTAAATTTCCAATCCTCCATAATCTTATCACCATCTCTAATTCTGCAAATGATATGAATAGCACCAATGATCACTAGGAAAACCAGAGTAATACTTGCTAAAGTGATACCTACAGCAAATCCTTTCTTGTGCACCACTTTATTAGACCCTTTCTTGAGAAATGGCAGATTTCTTGAATCTAAATCTTGTACCTTTCCGTCAATGTTAAAGCTCCAGCCATGCACATAATGCAAGGCTGTCAGCAAACCGGTGGAACCAGAGAACCCAACATACATGTACTCATCTAACACCAATGAGAGATCAATGGGGAATGATATCAAAGGGCCGTGGGGTCTCAACACGCATTGTGGAGATATTGAAACATTCATCGACATCTCCTTGCTGTCATAGTCAATCCATGCCTGAATGGGTTCTCCGCTATTGATCGACTTGCTCCTCTTGTCATGTATGTCACTAACATTGGCGAAATAGTAGGCAGCTAGCTTTGATATGTTGGATATCAGGCTGGATATATCTATTTCTACATGGTTATCATTGATGTCTTCGAGTTCATGGTTTTGGACTATATGGAACACCGCTGCGAGGAAAGGACCATCGCTAGCGTCATTTGGAAGACCCGAGTATTGGTTTAAAAGACTTATCTTGGCTTTGTGGTGGGGATGAGAACAAAGGCAAGACCATGACAAAATCAGGGTGCTTTGGAGTGACAGAGAATACAAAGTTTGTGCTAAATGTAACAGCAGTAGTTTTGTTATTCGGATTGCTTTTCTTGACTCATAGAGATGGATAGAGGGCATGCCCAAGAAGCCAATATCCCATTGGACTTGATGAGTGAAGCTCCCTCCGAGGTCAAGTTTGCTTTAAGGAACCCATTGTACGTAAAATTTATCTCTACATGGGCAAGGCTTAGAAGGAGAAGATGAAACAGGAGATCAAATGCCTCCATGGCTGACTTGTGAATTAGATAGTTTTCTTAGAGAATTCTTGAAATTGTAATGCCTTCAGGCAGTGAGAAGTTGGGGGTAGCTTAACTCTGTTAATTGTAGAAGATAACATATAGTATTTCTGATGGGAAATCTTAGAAAACTTGAAACCTGGAAAGTTTTTTTTTTTTTGGTATTTTAGGTTACTAACATTTCAATATCACTGAAATTAAAAATTTAACACTCTAACAAGTCACATAGTTGTTGCGAAAACTGCATATTAACTAACTTTAAGTACTAATAAGCCAAGCCTCGGTGGCCTTAAAACTTTAGTTTTAAACATTAATAAAAGTAGCACAGGCATGGAATAATGGTGTAAGCAATCCAATCTCCATAGGCAAAATTACTTTCTGAAAGACTAAACTGAAGGACGAATCCCTCATTTCTTTTGCTTTCCTAGAATTTGTGATAAAACTGTGTTGATGGATAGCCTTGATTCCACAAAGATGGACCAAAACTTATATAACTGGAATTAATCTAAACCGGAGCCGTTCCTTCCAACAAGAAGAAAATGATGGCAACCACAGACCATCGAGACAAATCCTCACAAATGGAGTTTTTTGTTTCTCTTTCCAATGGTTTATTGACTGTTGGCCATTCAAGTATCAGCAGTTAATGCCCCTTTATTTTATTTGCACGATTAAGAAAAAAGCAAGCGGTAATTTAAGGCACATACTTGCGCAAAAACAAGGGAGTAAGAGAAAAGAACCTTGCAAATCAAGGAATGTAAAAGACAAATTTTGTTGCAGAGATCAAGTTGGTTGAATGAGTTGTTTAATAGTTTTTTTTTTTTGAAATGATGAGTTGTTTAATAGTCGATTCTTGATGGGCTTGTCTTGGTCTCTGTTTCGGCTATTGCACCTAACTCAGGCTCCATTCTGGTTATAGCCTTCTAGGCCTCGGTAGCAGGCTTCTTTTTGCCAAGTTTGTTTGTGCTTTGTATTGTATGGTGTGGTTTCATGGTTTTGTCAGGTGAAATTCACTCCACATTTCAGAAATCAGAATGTTTCATTGAGATCAAGGATAACTCAAAAATGTCTTGCATCCAGGGTACAGCTAGACCCAGTTTGTCATGCGAGGTGAAATAGTATTTTAGAACCAACTTGGGAAAAAATTTATGAATTTCTAGGTAATAGCATTTGGCCACAATTACAAGCAACTTCCACATTCATCTATCTATTAATAGAGTATAATCGAATAGAATTTTTGATAAATTATTCATAAACATATTCGATTTTTGTTCGTTTATATTCATTTGTTAAACTTAACAAATAATTTTAAACAATAGTTTTATATTTGTTTATTAAACAAACTGAATACAAATAAAGATTTATTTGGTTTGTTTATATTCATAAACAAACTCATTTAAAATTTATTTAAAACATATTCATTTATCACTCGTTTGTTATTCGTTTGCTGTTCATTTATAATAATCTAACAAAATTACATTTTTCTCCTTTATTCTAATTTTATTTTAAGATTTGTTTATATTCATTTAGATTCGTTTGTATTCGTCTACGATTTATTTGTTTAAATTTATGTAATTATAATTTGTTTATTATTCATAAACATGTTCATTTATATATATATTTGTAAACTTATTTGTTTAATGTTCACAAATAAACTCATTTAACTTAATTGAATCAAATATGAATCAAACGCAAACATCTATAATTTAAACGAACTGAACTCGAATGAATAGAGTAATTTTCTTACCGAACATAAATAAAAGCCCGAACACCTTTAAAAATAAAAAAATCAAAAAATCACAAATATACATTTATTTGTTCATATTCGATTCATTTACAATCCTATCTACCAATAAAAAAACTCATGACCTTTTCATTTTCATTGTCGTAAATTTGCTCAATTGGCGGATTTAGAGGAAATCAATAATTGCATGTGTTGCATATGTGATTTTAGAAAAGCTTTTAATTTTTTTTAATTAAGATTACACAATTAAAAATTAGAATCTAATGCAACATAATTGAACACATATACAGCATAACTATTATATTTAAGAAAAAATCAATAAATAAATTTATTAAATCGACAAATCAACATAAAATTGAATGAAATATACACATGGTGAGACAATTGACTAAAAAAAATTGTTTCTTAAAGTATTTGACAAATGAGCAACTTTATTCATTTGATTCTTTTACAAATAGACATATACAAAAGACGGATTATCCGTTCAAACTCAAATGCTCTCCTAATTTTGAGAGGATTTGGACAAAAAATTAAAACCCGTTAAAAAAATTTAGACATAACATTTAGGTTTGTTTAGATTTCAAGATAGGTCTTGGATAAATTATTTAAAATTCGAGTTCGATACAGTCCAGCCTGAATTCACATACATAAATTATTTATTTATATATATATATGAATTATATAAAAATTAATTCACATATATATAAAAATTAAAAATAAAAATTATATATATTTTATTAAATTTAATTTTTGCTTTTATATAATTTTTATTTTTATTTTTAATTTATATATATGTGAATTAAATATAATCTCATTAAACTTAATTTAATCACTTTTTTATTTTTTATTATATAAAATAAGTTTAATGAGTTGACTTAGAATTTTTTTTTTAATTTTAATCGAGTTTAGAAAAATTTTTGAGGTCTGAACCCGACCCTACTTAATCCATGAACACCTTTATTTATAAATGCTAATAGACGTTCAATATTCTAATAAGAGAATTTTAGGATATGAGTGATGTGTTAACATCCAATGCTTAAAACTTAAGAATAATCATAGCAAACATTTTGGAATAGTACGAGTAAATGAAATAATTTTTTTTTAAAAAAAATTAGTTGAAGAGTAATTATTTTATTTCAAAATCAATCCATTTATAAATTTTAATGATAACTTATATTAAACTTATATATTTATTTATTAAAAAATTGTTAGCAATAAAAATTAAATTTAAATTTTATAAATAAAATATTTTATTTTTATTAACTCAACAAACTTTCATTCACAGAAGCAAATTTAATGGGCTTTTTTATTTAATAAAAAAATTAATTTAATGGGCTAGCTTTTTGTAATAACTAGAAATAAGAAAAAAACACTAGCAAAATCAAATGCGTCCAAAATAAGAAAGAAGATCTAAATTTTTTTAAACTAAAATTTCATATTTTTTGTCTCATCCTATCATAAATAAGTTTTTTTAGGAATTATTTTAAATACTCGTAATTAAAAAAATTCTAATAATTTAAGAGAAGTTAACATTGTTAATTGCTAATTTTAAAATAGTTAGGCAGTAATACGACCCTATTAGAAAGCTATAATAGAACATCATTGCAAGCTAAGAAAACCATTCCCCAATCCATGGAAAAAGAAAGTATGCCGTATTATCAAATCTCTAGATAATACTAAATACAAAGTCCAAATAATTCTAAATGATATGTAAATAGGGTCCTTCAATTTTGTTTGCTACCAACGGAAGGAGACATGATGGAAGAAAAAATTATCTGGTATTTGGGAGACATAAGAAGCCACACTTGATCCTCCATCCAACTTAATTTGTGGTCTTTCAACCCTAGGATATCCAAATGAAGATGAATCCTTTCCTAGATGGCTACTTGGTAGTCCAATGGGCATTGTAGGCATTTTTACATCATTGGAAGGCAATTGATGCAGTAAGGGAGTTAAACTTGCTACTATAATACGAGTAAAGGGTGAAGAAACTAGGAAGCTTCCAAAAGATACAGTTGTATGAATTGGTCAATCTGATGGCAAAATGTGAATTGCATGTGATGCTCCATGGTTTTTCGTTGACCCACCAACATTTGTTTGCAATGATTGAGATGTATATGTAGCAAGTGCATTACATTTCTTGGGTTCTTCCATCTAGAAAAGCATTAAGGTAATAAAAAACTTAGCTTCTACTATAATCCTAAGTAACTTAAATATCATGAAATTTTCCATTATTTACAATGACCAACAAACATGTTTTTCTAATAAAATCAAGCTGAGTTTAGAGAGAGACGTCTTTGCAAGTTGCGATCTATTTTACTCTTAACTATTTGCTTTGTAATTGTTAATTTCTAAGAAAACAATCTTTTCATGTATCAAATACTAACCTGTTAGTCATAATTAGTTCAATTAACCATTATTGGACTGAGTGCACCTATTACGTAATCTTATGTCTCTACTAGTTCTATGAACACAATAGCTTTCCTAAGCCATGTTGAACTCCATTATTGGGTTATGAATAACTTTTCTTCATTAACTATACACATAAATCACATCAATAATAGGACAATAAATTCAAAATTTTAAGTACACCTGTAATGGTCTACAACATCACATAACAAAAACTATTTTTCCTTTCCATCACATTCAACTTAAAATCATACGAAACTCACATTCAAAATCAAGGCTTTTAAATAGTACATATCAAACCTATACACTGCCTGGTAAAACTCTGAAGAACTCATAATATCATCAAAATCCAACAGTCAGTTGCTTTGTTGTATAAATTCATACAAAAAGTATCCAAAGTAAAAAAAAAAACAGAGCTAATGAAAACAATCGAAACTCATTTTCATCTAAGATCACAACATGCAAAGATAAAATCTTTCAAAAAAAATATTTATAATAACATGCAAACCTCCCAACCATAAAAACCTAAAACCTATTCAACAATTAAACTTCATTAAAAAAAATTACAATCTATAACAGTAAAATGATGACAATAAAACCAAAAAAAAAAACTCACATTCAACGAAACAATAAAATAGAACAAAAATATGTTCTAAAAAATAGTTAAAAAAAAACAACCAAAGGAAAATAAA